TATAAGATGATAAAACATTCAGATCTATGATGTACACTGGTATCTCATTATTGTCAAAATAAATACAAAATAATTTACAAACAAACCCAATAGAAAATTGTATAGCATATAAGAGTAACCAAAGGCCAAGTCCAGACGGGGAACAAACATTTAGAAAGAGGGCCAGCATCACGGACAGTAGGAGAAAGGAAAATTGTAGTGCCAAAGAAATATGACTCTATGCTCATCAAATTGGCCACAAACTGGGAAAAATCAAAAGGAGCCATCACATAGCACTGCATGAGGGCGAAGTTAAGTCTGTACTGTGGATGGAATGTGGGGTCGCACAGAACTCTGAACAGTACAACACCCTCACCCTCAGCACCTGCTCCTGGGAATCTGCCCCACAGTGAAAAGCACTAGTGAGGAAGGACAGCCATTCTCAAGGACTTGGGACAGTATTTTTCATAGTGAGATAAAAGCACTAGAAATGAATGGCCATCAGCAGACGATCAAAAGACGAGCAACTGAACAACTCCAGTGACTCCACATCAGCAACGCTATGTAGCCCCCAACAAGAGGGGGCTAGAATCAGACAAACTGATTAGGAGCGGTTTAGGACAGGGATTGGTGAGACAAGTTTATATGAAATCATTTTTGTGACAGGAGAAGACTCCAAAACTCTACATGCATACTTGTGTGTGGATGTATGAGTGTTTGTGTGTATTATCTGAGATGAGCATGGAGAAATAGGGAAGGGTACGTTCAAAGTTGTTAACAGGAGTTTCCTAGTGCTGAGTGAGGACAGAAAAGGTCCAGTTTAAGTGTATGTGTGTGTACACGTGAGTGTGTGTGTTTCCTGTTTTATTCAAGAGTTCTGTCTCATACATGGAACAATATAATGGGAGGCATCTTCTAAATCTGGTCCACTCACAGACTGCTGTACAGCAAGGAAGTGCAGGTTGGATCTCCTGCAGAGAGACTTGGTGTCTCAAAATGAAGCAATGTCCAGGCACTTCTGGAACCAGAGTCTGGTACCAGAGAGGAAAGGAACCGACACAGCTCTGTTGGATAAATTAACCAGAATGTTCCTTGTACTGTTTGAGAGGTAGGGGATAACACAAGGGTCTCAGAGGTAGCAGGTCCAGAAAGTGGAAAACAGACAGGGGCTGAAGAGAGAGGTGGCCCTGCAGAGTCCTCCAGCCTTGGGATATGGCTAAGGGCCCTATGTCCACAAGGGGGTCACAAAGCCAGGAGCAGCAGACGTTTGGGCGAGAAGGGGTCTCCAACAGTGGCTGGGCAGCGGGGGAAGTGGAGCACGCACTCCATGTCCAGCTCAAGCCTGGCAGAGCCGGAGGGATGCCCTGAGACTCACCAACAGCACAGAGATCTGCAAACCGGTCCTCCCCCTCCTCTGCGTGGATCAGGTCATTTCTGCTCTTCTTCGTGGCCGCTCTCTTCAGCACTGCTTTAAACAAAGGATGGGAGAGACTGCCTGAGCTGCAGCCCTCAGGCCACCTGCCTCAGCGGGGCATGGGATCACTCTCCCACTGAGACCAGCGACCTCTCCTGAGCTCCTGTCCTGAAGTGGGGCTGAGGCTCAGACTGGGTGATTCTGGGCCCCCCTGGGTCCTTCTCAGTCCCCAGAGTTGAAGAGACAAGGAATTTTGAGGGTGACGGGTCCCCACTTTCCCTTCCTTCCAAAATGAGGCCAGTGGGGAGGCCTGGCCACCAGGGAGACCAGGAAACGTCCATCTGGGGCAAGGCCAGGACTACAACGGGGACAGCACAGACCTGCTCAGAGCCACAGGCATGGGGCTGGCTGAGACTGCCACAGATGTGTCCATGCCGTCTGGCCCAGACCTGAGTGGTGAGTGTGCAGAGAGGGCAGCCTTCCTGCTGCTGCAGCTACGCTGGTAACCAGTGCCAACAACCACAGCAGTGGGGCCCAGGCTCCCTCTCGTGGCCCCAGGTTGTGCCATGAGCATTCCCATGGTCTCTGGGAACAGCAGCACCCCAAGCCCTGGGGATAGACACAGCTCAGTTTAAACCTGCGATGTGGGCTGTGTCAGGTGCCCAGGGTCAGACACCATGGCCCTCGTCTGTGTTCATGTGATGGCTGTGTAGGTGCCTGGCACTGCAGAGAGCACCTCGC